AAAGTCCAAGTTCGAGGGCAACTACTTCTACCGCAGCGAGGTGGCCAACTTCTTCGTCTGCATGATGGCCGGCATGCTGGTGTTCTACGGCTTCCACTGCACCTGGGTGACGTCTGAGGCGTACAGCTCGCCGTCAATCGTGCTCTCGGCCAAGTACGATGGCGAGAGGATCATCTTTGACGACTTCCGCGAGGCGTACTACTGGCTGCGTCAGAACACCCCCGAGGACGCTAAGGTCATGAGCTGGTGGGACTACGGATATCAGGTGAGATGTTGTGCGAGACGGTGGCACACACTGTCCGGCAAAAGGTTGTCGGTGGAAAACGCTGACCGACGTTAAACAATGGTAATTGATAGGTACTCCCTATGCCATTCGTTTTTGATTTTGTCATTTTATAATTTATCAACGATCATAATTGTTCAATCACTCGTTTCGCTTTCGTCGTGCTTAGACATAGCAATTGCCAAGTTATACTATGTACCACGTGCCGCCAATATTTTTGAAGCACTGTATGCGTTTTTCGTAACTGCTTATTCAACTGGCCAACAGTATTCATTTTGCATTGATTTCATCATTCGCCGATCATCCGCTGTCAGTGGGTTCCAACTGCACCTGTCCCTCTCCATACATGTATGTTCCCTCTTCTTTTTTTGTGTATCTCGCCACTCCGGCCCACTCCCAGCGCTACCTCTCTGTCCTCCGACAGATCACTTCAATGGCCAACCGGACCATCATCGTCGACAACAACACGTGGAACAACACGCACATCTCGCGCGTCGGCCAGGCCATGGCCAGCAGCGAGCAGCACGCCTACGGAATCATGCGTGAGCTCGACGTCGACTACGTACTGGTCATCTTCGGCGGCTTCACCGGTTACTCGAGTGACGACATCGCCAAGTTTCTGTGGATGGTGCGGATTGGAGGCTCGACCGACCGTGGCGCGCACATCCACGAGAAGGATTATTACACGCCGTCTGGAGAGTTCAGGATTGATGCGCAGGGCTCGCCGACCATGCTCAACAGTCTGATGTACAAGATGTGCTACTACAGGTCAGTCTGTGTGGGGACGGGAGGGATGGACGGGGTGGATTCGATAGGGAACTCTGAAATAATATCGCCGTCTCCATATTCAGCTGCTGATTTCTATAGGTGAAGTTATTTACTATTTAGGCTCAGCCTAAAAAGGCTGAGCCTTATTTAGGCTCAGCCTTTTACTATTTAGGCTCAGCCCTCAGCTGCGTTTTATGCTCAGCTGTAACATATTAACCCGCGCCCGGCTGGGGGTCCTGGATTTCCACGCCCTGCTGGGGGGGGGGGGGGGTGTTTGAACACCCCCCCTTCTAACTCGGCTCCTGGGCCACGTAGCGATACGCGGAAGGCGGCGTTCGAAAGAGCGTCAAAAATAATGAGGAAATCACTTCGGTCAATTTTTTGGTCAGGTCAAAGGTCAGGTCACCAGAGGTCATTGAAGGCAAATTTTCGCCGATTTCCAGGTCGAATGTCGAAAATTTCCAAGAAGCCAACGCATAACTCGGGAACCAATAGAGCTACAGCGCCGCGGAAAAGCGCATTCGATAGCCCTATTAACGCCCTTTCTGAGTAATTTTCTCAGATTTGACCTAACGTCAACGGTTTTGCCTGCAGGGGGCAAAAACTGCAAAAATAGCCGATTTTTTCGGAAACAGTTTTTCTGCAATAACTTTTGACCCAAGCATTGTACGAGCTTACTTTTACCGGCATCGTGTTCCTCTCGTCAAGACGCATCGAACGAACTATAATTTGACCTTAGGTCAACTTGAAAATTTGACCTCAGGTCAAGGTCATGACCTGACCGGAAAGGGTCATGTTGCATATCAGTCGATCCGTATCGTCGAGCTGAACACATCTAAGGCGTTTTCATCGCTCTAGCATGCCTCTATCAAAAGTTATTTGCGAAAAACTGTTAGATACCATTCGTAACCTAAGATGACCTCAGGGCATAAACAGGGGTCACAGACACCATTTTCATGTTCAGTGTGTCTAAACCACTTGTAATTCAGTGTTTGGGAGTGTTTATAATGTCTTTCGTCCAAAACAGGCGCATTTCAATTTTCTCCCATTGACTTATAATGGTGAGGTCGCAAAATTGACCTGACCTTAGGTCATCGATATCAAAATTCTGAGATATACATTTTGTACATGCTAATGCTCTTAGCAATCGCTGAAAGTTTCAAAGCGATCGGTCACTCGGTGTAGCTATGACAGACATTGAAACTTTTTATGAGGTGAGGTCACTTCGAGTGACCTGGTGACCTGACCTTGAATGACCTTGGTCTGAAATTTTCACAACATGTGTAGAATTGATGTATGATAAGGTGTACCAAAAACGGCGGCGCTCCGCGCCGCCGTTTTCGAGATATTCGCGAAAAACCACAGGGGGGGGGGTGTTCAAACACCCCCCCCCCCAGCAGGGCGCGGGTTAAGGCTGCTCATGAAATAGTGTCGATATTTGTGTCGATATTTATGCCTCCAACTCGATACAGCTGGTTTCGTGTTTTGTTTGGAGAATGCATCTGTCCTATACTCCATTTTCATGTTCTATCGCTAATCTACTAACTTGCATACATTCTGAACGGATCACTCGTGATGTTACTCCACGTCTCCGGCCGCCAACCTTTCTGGCAGTGTATCAACTGTGCCGTCCGTGTGCATAAGCGTGCCGGTGACCAAAGGTGTGAAGGTGCCCGCGTCATGCCTGACGGGTCCCTGTCTTGTGTCTCATGGCCCCTCATGTCTGTCTGACGGTGCAGTGTCCCCGGTGTGAATGTACCCCTGGCCTGTGTCTGACTTTCCCCCGTGCCGCGACAGGTTCGGCCAGGTGTACACCGAGCGCAGTCGCCCGCCGGGCTGGGACCGCGTCCGCAACGCTGAGATCGGCAACAAAAACTTCGAGCTGGACGTCCTGGAGGAGGCCTACACCACCGAACACTGGATCGTCCGCATCTACAAGGTCAAAGACCTGCCCAACCGAGGCTAGTCGGCCGGCCTAGCTGGGGCGCGGGCAGACAGGCAGAGCAGAGTGTTCGAAACTCACTGCGTCACAGGGTTAACCAATCGCAGCGCGTGCTGGCAGTCTCCTCGAGCGGGGTCCCGACTCGCCTAACCAATCACAGTACGCCGGGGCGGCTGGATCAGCCAATCACAGGGGCAGGAGGGCTGGATCAGCCAATCACGGTGCGCCAGGACGGCTGGAGCAGCCAATCACAGGGCAGGGCGACCTGAACTAGCCAATCACAGGGCAGGACGGTGACGGGCAGGCCGGCACAGTCATTGGGACGCTCGCGGATTGTTTGATACTGCCAATGTCTGCGAGTGCGCTGGCAAATCAGGGGTTCGAGGGGACATGCTTGGTTCGTGGATGTGGTGCGCACTGGGTGATAGCCATTCTGCTCTGCTGGTGTCGTTTCGAGTACTTATGCCAGTGTACCGTGGGGCGATCTTCAGCCGCTTGCGCCCAGCCAATGCCTGACAGGTTACACAGGGGCCTAGCTCCGGAAAACGAGTGTATCCAGAGTGCTGATATGGCCTTTGAACACGCTAATCCATAGCTTACACGTTACTCAAATACCTGCGGGAAATGTTTGCCGTATTTCGCTTGTATTGTTTATCTGTTCCGTTGCAGTTTCTCAATCTGTCGCACACGTCTTTCCCGCCTGTGATCACGCGCTGCCTTACTCTTTTCCGATCAAAGTTCTGCTTATGTTGCAATCATGCCCCTTTCGTGTCCGCTTATTTTGGAGAAATATGCTATCAGTTGATTTTTCCGCTACTGCTTAAGAGAGTTCTCAGCGTCGTTAGATGTGGATGACCGGTTGTTCGCACGAGTGTTTGGTGTGAGTTCATTCCATTTACCACCGCTGCGGCTGCCCGGAGGTGGTGTGCGTTCGGTCTGGATTTGCCCGTCAGCCTGTCTGTGCCGGTTGTGACGCGATTCGTTCGGTGTGCTCCGTGTCGGTGTGCCTATTTGCCTTTGCGCCAGACGAGACCGTCGTCGGAGCCGCAGTGTCTCGGGGCGCCAGGTGACCGACGGCAAAGGCCTGCCCGTAGCGCCTCTGGCGGCCGTTCGGCGAACCACTAGTGACAACTGCCCCCGCTGGACGCCGCCAGTATCGCCAATTGCTGCTCCACCTAGCCGGCCGTGAAGGCTGCACCGCGCCCACCGCTCGAGTTGTTCTCCCCAGGGCCATCGGCGCTGTACAGACGACATGAATAAAGCGAGCTGGCACTTCGCTGCGTGTATTGTGTGCTTACAGCTATCGCTCTATCTTGAGGGACGGACAGGCAGCCAGTTTTGCGAGTCGGCTACTAGATGCAGCTTTCTGTTTCGTTGATAACTATGCCTGAGGAATGACTGGGCTTTCATTGAACACAGGGGGATAGACATTTTCATGTTTTATTCGATGACCGGGGACCGGGACCGGAACATGCTCCGCTCACCCTCTGAGTCTTGCGTAATCACGTAAACCCTTACGTACATCGCGTAGACAGTATTAGAATGAACGTGAAATTTTCGCCCCGCATCATTTTTCCCCAAATGCCGATCAGCATATCTCGACAAATATTCTGCCTTCTGGTATCCTCCGCCTTGGATTCGCTATCTTATCCAGAGAACTTCACACCAAGGCGAGTCCAATATCGCCCGATTTCCACATCCGGATGCCCTTGTTTAGACTAGCGCCCTCGCGCCTGCTCTTTATCTAGTCACTCGTCAGTCCTCAGTTATCAAAAGAATGAATGCAGCGGCAGAGTCCTAAAGAATGAATGAAATGATGCAACCATTGGCACAGCCATTCATCGTTTTTGAAGACCTGTATAAAAATACTAGTGACTTATGGGAAGAAATGTCTTCAAAAACGGAAGATATACGAGAAAAAGTGGAGAATTATGGCGAAAAAGAAGCGAAATTATAGAGATATGACGGAATAGTTTTTCATTCACTGACAACTGGGCTGCCAGTTCCGCAGTCGCGAGGCAGCCGTGCGCGGGTGGGGGCACTGAGGGCACTGGTGTGTGTTGGTGCGCGGGCTTGCGATGGCGCTCACGGGAAGCAATGGAAAGCCGTCATTTATCAGCAAAATTCAGGGTGTCTTGGTTGACAAGATGGGACCTAGGCTTGTGATCAACAAGCGGACTATTGACAAAACCTACTCATTGATGGACAAGGTGGTGAAGCTTTGCCAGCATCGGAAGATGAATCTGAAGAATTCGCCTCCATTCCTCTTGGACATTCTTCCAGACACCTACACACACCTCAAAGGAATCTGCAGCAGATATAATGACCTGGAAGTGCTGAACAGCAATGAATACTTCTGTGTGTTCATTGAAAACCTCATGAAGAAGTGCAAACAGGCAGAAAAGCAGTTCCACGATGGAAAGGAGCAAATGTATGATGAGAACTCAGCGTGTAGGAGGGAGCTCACAAAGCTGTCTCTTGTGTTCTCACATATGCTGTTAGAGCTGAGGGCAATTTTTCCAGATTACAAGTTTTCGGGAGATCAGTACAGGATCACAAAGAGTGATGCCGCAGAATTCTGGAGAACTTCATTTGGGGACAGGTTAGTAATCATAATTAGGTGCACTGGCGGATCCTGGGGGGGGTCCACGGGGTCATGACCCCCCCCAAAAGGTCTGAGAGGGTCATTTGACCCCCCCCAAAAGCCGAAGACCTAAATGCGCTATAGACGCCGTCTTGCATGCTCAAAATCACCTGTCAAACACTTCTGAGCTAATACCTTTGTTTTTCTGGATCGTGTTGCGTGAAAAGGCGTATTGAAGACCAGAATCTTACTCGTTTTTGTCTCAACCGTGCGAGCACCAGGGGATGATCCAGGAAAACTCCAAGGGGATGGTCATGAATTTAATTCGTGGTGCCCCTACCTATACGCAAAATTAAAAACTCAACGGATTTCGGTCACTTAATTTTGGTGATGTCCTATTTTCATTTTTTATTTTGTTTGTTTTATTTTTAGTGCCCCTGGGCCCTGGCAGGTCAAAATCACGTCTGAGGCGAAAGAAATTCACGGGAATCCCAAAAATCACGTCAGGACATTCAGGGCCCTCTGACCAGCCTGACAGCTAGGGCCCTTCTTACTTCCTGGGGCCTCCAGTGAATAACCGCTAGTGTCTGTGTCTGACCGCTAGGGCCCCTCTGACTCCTCAGTAGGTAGGAGGCCCTCTGTAGAGGAGGTCCTCTGTAGAAAGGAGGCCCTCAGTAGAGAGGAGGCCCCCTGTAGAGAGGAGACCCCTTTAAAGAGGAGGCCCTCTGTAGAGAGGAGACCTGCTGTAGAGAGAAGGCTCTATGTAGAGAGGAGGCCCTGTGTAGAGAGGAGGCCCTCTGTGGAAAGGAGACCGCCTGAATGCAGAAGGCCCTCTGAAGAGTGGAGACCCGCTGTAGAGAAGAGGCCCTCTGAAGAAAGGAGGCCCTCTGTAGAGAAGAGGCCCTCTGAAGAGAGGAGGCCCTTTGCAGAGATGAGGTCCTCTGGCTCTTTGAAGAGAGGAGGCCCTCTGTAAAGGAGGCCCTCTTAAAGGGAGAGACCCTCAGTAGAGAGGAAGCCCTCTGTAGAGAGGAGGCCCTGTAGCTTCTGTAGTTAAGAGGCCCTGTGAAAAGAGGAGGCCCGCAGTAGAGATCGGTGGTCCTCTGTAGAGAGGAGGCCCCCTCTGTGTTTTGACAAATGTTTTTGCAAATTTTTCGCGGCGCTTCGCGCCGCCGATTTATGTACATACGTACAGGTCAATACGAAATCTTGACTGTAATTACATAAACCAACCGTGTCAAATTGAATCAGAATTCATATGTGTGCTGTAAAGGAACTCCGGCTTGTACTGCAATGCTAAAAGGGTGGTAAAATTTGTGTTTTGGAGCTGTGTTTCGACACATTCTTTTGCAAATTTTCTCGGCGCTTCGCGCCGCCGATTTATACACCAATCAATAAGAGAGAAATAACAGTGACTGTAATAACACCAACCGTGTCAAATTGAATCGGAATTCATATGTGTACTGTGAAGGAACTCCGGCTTGTACTAGCATGCTAAAAAGGTTGTAATATTTGTGTTTTAGAGCTGTGTTTTGACAACTTTTTTTTGCAAATTTTTGCGGCGCTTCGCGCCGCCGATTCATACACAGGTCAATAAGAGAGATCGTGACTGTATGCTACTATTTACTAATGCATTAGGCTAAAAGTGAGGTAACTATATCTACTTCTGGGTTTTTAAGTCGGTCGACCCGCCTCCCCCCCCCCCCCAGTAAAAAATCCGTGGCGACGCTCCTATATAGGTGGGTTTCACTAACTAAAACTACTGAGCCGAGTGACTTACGATAAAACTTCATCTTATAAACGACGAAGATCAAATGTCATTTTTTGATCTCGACATACTCGCTCCCTACCCCCCCCCCCCCCGGTCGTCAGAATTCATTCACCAGACCTGGTATGTCGGCCGACTGGTGACCCCCCCCAAAACGACCCCCTAGATCCGCCCTTGATTAGGTGTGCTTTTGTTATGTGAATTAAAATCAAATAAGGCTCACCATTTCTTTATTGCTTCATGCTCAAAAATAATTGTTACATCTTGCATTTTTACTATTTGAGCTTGACTTCTGGGAAATGCTCATGATGAGATACAATTGTTCATAAAAGCATTAATTTCTTGTTGATAATTACATGATCAACAATATCAAATATATGAGAAATTGTAGGTTAAACATGTGCTGAAAATTACCAAAGCACTTGACTTTAGAGTTAAGCCTAGCCTATGTCAAGCAGCTGCAGCCCCAAGCATGGAAGAACTGGATTTGCTTATGAAGGGTAACTTTGGCCACTTGTTGAGCTTGACAGCTCTTAGTACATAGTTGACTTGCTTACATAGTACCTATATATAGCATAGACAGACATTTTTCCGCAAACATTGCCTCATTGCACCATTCATTTATGATCATTTTGATATTCGCATGTGCCGCCCTAATCTGAAAACATCCCTTTGATCTTTTACTGGACCCTTTAGGTATGTGTCTTGTTCTGTGTCACTGCACAGAAGAAGTGCAGGAAAGATTCAAAGAACATATATCATCAGAGAGCTGACACAAGCTCTCTGAATCTGGGATCAGTACAGATCAGATTATCTGTACACACCAGCCCTGCTTATTGGGACTTGGGAGGCATCTCAATCTCCAGTCTCCACCCTCCGGATCCATGCTTTCCAAAAGAATATACCTGCATCTTGGCTCCTGGCTATAGCTCCTTCACTAGTTCCCAAACAAGAGGATGCTCATCCAGCCCCCTTGAAGCTGCCTCTCTAGTCCTGGATTCACTGACAGCTTATCAGGGGCAGAACTGAAAAGGTTTGACCTTTGATTCACAGCTAACATTGCTTGAATATTAGTATGTATAGCTCCTGCCCATTCTTCAGCACTGCAGCTTCTCCTTACTTGGTACTAAGGAGGCATTCCTTTCCATCTAATATCTTATACCTACCTATCTGGTGAAATTCCATATTTCTATAAAGAGACTCTGTCATTCAGTGCTCTCAGCCTGCTTCCACCCTGCTGCACTGATCTCACTACCAGTGGTTGCTAACCATATGTGGCCTGCCTTTGCCAGGACTCTGGTGCCATGGCAGACGTTCCGCGAGCGACTGGCAGAGGTGCATCCCATCCACCCGGGTCTCGAGACCAAGGCACTGAAGACCACCATCGACCTCACTGGAAACGAATACATCTCCAACTTCGAGTTCGACGTGTTTACGCGGTAAGTTGGCCGCTGGAGCCGCCAGATGTTTGCACTGTGCGTGGGAGTGCTCGCGATCCTTTGACAACTTTTGCGCCATTCAGTCGTTTCATTTTTTGGATCCATTCATGGAGTACGGCCGTTGGCTACATGACATGCATTGCACACAAGTTCTTAATCCCCAGGGGCCTGAATGGTCCTCGAATCGCATAACAGTTCGGTCTCTAGAAGTATGTTGCGCTAGTAAAAGGCGTATGGTATCGTGTGCCGGTTCACCGGTAATTTTTTTCTGCGCTCTCCGCTAGCCATCGAGCGATGTTGACGCTGTATTATAGGGACGCGAGTGGGCCCAGTGGGGTTGAAAAGAGGGCGGAGTCGGGGTATACCTTTACATTGTGCGAATGTGATTCACATGGCGAAATATGCGAATCGGCATCAATATGAGGCTCTGGCAGTGGCGGTCGCAGGGGGGGGGGGGGCCATCAGGGCCATGGCCCCCCCAAAGGCAAATCAGGGGGGGCCATCATATCATTTGGCCCCCCCAAACAACCGATGGGCCCCCATGGGCGTATGGGGCCCTGGCCCGTATTCGATTGTCACGAGGCTCGAGAAACCCACGCCAGCTATTAACAGCTCCTATACCGGTCTTTGAGGGTCCTACACTCACCTCTGAGGGCCCTTCAGTGGCGGTCAAGCGCCCACATTGACCGCTGAGGACCCACGTTGACCTCTGAGGGCCCTCCACTGGCCTTTAAGGGCCCCTAAACCGGTCTCAGGGGCCCAACCGGCGGCTGAGGGCCTCACACAGGCTCTGGTGGCCTCATTTCTGTCTCAAGACTAGCCTTTAATTGCCTCTGAGGGCCCGCACTGGATTCTGAAGACCCGATGTCGGCCACTAAGAGCCCGGATCGACCTCTGAGGGCCCCTCTTGGTCTTTGAGGGCCCTCCGCTGGTCTCTGGGGTCCAACGCCGGCCTATGCCGGTCTTTTAGGGCCCCACACTGACCTCTAAGGGCTCCATGCTAGCCTATAAGGACCCACATTAGCCTCTGAGGCCCCCGCACTGGATTCTGAGGACCCAATGCCAGCCTCCGCCCGCATCGGCCTCTGAGGGCCCATCTTGGCCTTTAAGGGCCCTCCGCTGGCCTCTGGGGTCCAATGCCAGCCCATGCCGGTCTTTTAGGGCCCCACACTGACCTCTGAGGGCCCTACGCTGGCTTGTAAGGACACATATTAACCTCTATGGGCCCCGCACTGGATTTTGAAGACCCGATGCCGGCCTCTAAGGGCCCGCATCGGCCTCTGAGGGCCCATCTTGGCCTTTGAGGGCCCTCTGCTGGCCTCTGGGGTTCAACGCCGGCCCATGCCAGTCTTTCCGGGCCCCATTCTGACCTCTGAGGGCCCCATGCTGGGCTGTAAGGGCGCACATTAGCCTCTGAGGGCCCCGCACTGGATTCTGAACACCCGATGCCGGCCTCTTAGGGCCCGCATCACCTTTGAGGGCCCATCTTTGGCCTTTGAGGCTGGCCTCTGCAGTCCAACGCCGACCCATGCCGGTCTTTTAGGGCCTCACGGCGGCCACGCTAACCTCTGAGGGCCCCATGCTGGCCTGTAAGGACCCACATTAGCATCTGAGTGCCCAAGTCGGTCTCTGATGGTCTCAAACTGCCCTTTGCAGGCCCTGTACTGGTCTCTGAGGGCCCTAAACTGGCCTCTATATGCCCCCAACTGGCCTATGAGGTCTCTACACCGGCCACTGATGGCCGTTTATGTTCTATGGGGGCCCAAGACTTACCTTTGGGCGTCACGCATTTGCTTCTGAGGGCCCACATCAGCCTCTGGGGCCCCATCTGGGGCCTTTGAGGCCCTTCGCTGACCCTTGGGTTCAACGCCGGCCTCTGGGGGTCTGACACTGTACTCTAAGGGCCACATTGCAGCCTCTATGCGATAGGTATCGCCGAAGCGTTATCCATGGGCCTATTAGTGTAGGAGCCACGGGTGCAGTGGGTGAAGTTGCACCAACAATAATTCTCCAGTGGGTGCAGACAATGTATTCTCTACCCACAATAATCTGGAATAAAAACCCCTTTTCTCATCAACACTACTTTCGATGCAGCACGACAGTCAGGATATTTTGCCCACTACTATCCATCTTTCGATGCATTTGCTACTGTGATGGTCTTCAAAACTTACATGTGTGCTCAAGTGAAAAATAAGAAACGGAACACATGTGATTGAACACATACCGATGAACCACTGTCAAAAGTTTTAGCACGATATCTTCAAAATGGCTAAGTTAGTCGGTTTTACTTTTTGCGGTAGTCAATTCACAGTTGCGTGAATTATTGACATTACCAATGCTTCAAAATGAACTTACCTTTTCGACATAGTACACCCTCAAAGCTGACAATGAGCCTCCGCTCGGGTGCCGCTCCCTACCCCCCCCCCCCCCCCCGCTTCACCGGCCATGGCTGGATTTCTGCACTCATGCACTACGCCCGTGGGCCCCTTTAAGCTAGCACCGGGCCCCCCGGGTCAGTGCAGGGGCCCTTTGCCAAGTTGCCCCCCCCCCCAAACGCCAAGTCTGCGACCGCCCCTGGGCTCTGGTAATCGTTACTGATTTGTTCGATGATTTTGAGGACATGAGAGAGTATTCTTGGGTCAGCAGGGCCCGTGGGTTAAGAAGTGTTTCCGTTCCATTAGGTCTTCAAGTGTGTCCCTCACTCCTAGGTCAGGTGTTTCATTTTTATGGGTGAGGTATTCCTTACTCAGGGACAGGTGTTCTCCGTTCTACAAGGTCAGGGCCAGACTCGGTGATTCAGCCACTAGGGCTCGGGTGTCATTTAACCCGCGCCCTGATGGGGTCTGCCGAGCAACGCGGTCTGATGGGGGGGGGGCATTTTGGCCCCCCCTAAGATCTCGAAAACCACGCAACATAGCGACAAGCGGCAAACGGCGTTGGATAGCCCCATGGGCGTAACCACCGCGCTGGAACGCTGGAAATTCCAGCCCATTTTTGGGATGCTGAAATGCCGCCCCTGGTAGAGGAAGTCTGCAATTGGGGGGTTTAGTTTAGGGACTTCAAAACGAAACAAAAGAAACGGCACTGCTCGGTCCACTATACGCCTGACCTCAACGTGCCGTTCCTCACTAAAATACCTAACCTCTATACATGCCGCCCCTCCCAGATGCCCTGCCGCCCCTTCGCACCGACTCTCCCTCAATTTCCTCTGAGCTCTCTGTGCCGCCCCTTATACAGAACCCCACCGTCCTCAATGTGCCGCCCTTCCGCATAATGCTCTATCGCCGTCTGTGCCACCCTCCCTAGATGACTTGCCGCCCCTTCCCAGAGTACCTCGGCGCTCTCTATGTGCTGCCCTCGCCACAACTTCCCGTCGCCCTCAATAAGCCGCCCCTCCCCACAATGCTCTATCTAGCAGTCGGCGCCGCCCTCCCAAGACACCTTGCTGCACCGCTACGTGGCGCCCCTCCCCAGACACCTTTCTGCTCTTACACGCCTCCCTTTCCCAGAACGTTTTATGATCCGTCCCTCCCTATAACGCTGTATTATTTCACGTACGTACCTATCTATTATCCAGGGGCGTAGGCAGGGGGGCCACTGGACCATGCCCAGCACCATTTGCGATTGAAGGCGCCGAAGGCGCCCTCCAATCGCGAATATGTTTACAGGGAAAATGCGGTTGGAGGGCGCCCTCCGGCGCCCTCCAACCGCTTTGTAGGCTGTAGCGCTCTAATCGTAGTGGTAGTCGCCAATTTAAGCCTGTTGATCGCAGCCGTCCTACCTACTGGCGCCCTCATTTTGATCGGAATACCCCTACCTATTGGCGGCCTCCTATAAATCGGCGCCCTTACCCAAAGGCGCCCTCCTGTAGGTCGCCGCCCCGCTATCCGTTGGCGCCTTTCGGCTGGTCGGCACCCTCCTACCTACTGCGCCCTCCTGTAGAATTTTGATTGCCGCCGTCCTCCGTTCTGGCATCCTCTTGTTGATCGCCGCCCTCCTACCCATGTGGCGCCCTCCGTGGCTCCCTCTTGTTGAGTGTTGATCGGAACCCTCCTACCTTTTGGCACCCTTGTGTTCCCTCCTACCCACTGGCGCCCTTCTGTTGATCACCGCGCCATCCTACCCAAGTTGGTACCTTCCTGTTGATCGCAGCCCTACTCATGCAGGCGCCCTCCTGTTCATTGTCACCCTCTTGGGCGAAGGCGCCCTCCTCACCATCGCCGCCCTCCTGTTGATCGTCAACCTTGCGCCCATTGGCGACTTCCTGTTAATGATCGCCCTCCTACCTATTGACGACCTGCTGTTGATTGCAGTCATTCTGCCTATTGGCGACCTCTTGTTGATCGCCACCTTCCTATCTATTGGCGCTCTCCTGTTCCTCGCCGCCCTCTTACCTGGTGGCACCTACTTGTTGATTGTCGATCGGGCCCCTCCGTCCTATTGGCGCCCTCCTGTTGATCGCCGCCCTTCTACCTTTTGGCGCCCTCCTGTTGATCGCCGCCCTTCTACCCATTCGCGACCTTTTGTTGATTGCCATCATCCTACTCATTGGTGCCCTCTTGCTGATCACCGCCCTCCAGATAATTAACATTCTTCTGTTTTTCGGTGCTCCCCCACCTACTGGCGCCTTCCAGGTGAATGTTGGCCGGGGCCCTCCTTCCTATTGGCGCCCTCCTGTTAATTGCCGCCCTTCTACCCATTGGCACCCTGCTGCTGCTTGCCACTAGCCTACCTATTGGTGCTCTCCTGTCGAATGTCTATCAGGGCTCTCCTATCTTTAGCTTGGAACGGTTTACCTCCTAGAGTTATCAATAGTTCCTCCTTAAGTAATTTTAAAAATGAGTTAGACTTGTATTATAAACAGCGTGGGCTAGTGTTCGATGAAATGGTGTAATTGTACCGTGTTTTACATACAGTGTTTGTTCATCTACCTGTAACCTCGTTGGGCCCAAGTGGCCTGCTGTTACATGGAATACATGTTATGTTATGTTATCTATTGG